ACACAGAGGGAGAATCAGAATGACAACAGATTGTGATCAGATGAGGGAATTTTAGAATTCAAAAGCCTACATCTATTGCAAATAACCATCTTTGAATGAAGCCGATGTAGGGTGGAGGAGTAGGTAAATGGAAATAAGCTGAGGAACTAGAATGTTAGGGTCTTCGAGGGAGTATCAATATGTATGTTGCAGTCCCCAGTATGAGAGAATATTCACAAGAGACATCCCTCATGGGGAGGAGGGAAAGACTATGAGCCAGGAACTGAACTGAGGGACACCTCGGTGCAGAACACCTCTATGCCTGAACTATATTACATAGAATTCTTATTGGTCTCCTTGCCTCACATCTCTACCACTCTAGTCCAGATACCCACTCACCTATCAAAGTGATCTAAAGTACAGGTCTGACCACATTACCTGATGCCTGTCCCTCTCCAAGATTAAATACAAAATCCTGTTTGGCTCTTAGAGCCTTCATAACCTTGGACTTTCCTATACTTTTCCCCATGGACTCTGTGATGCAGTGACACTGGCTTCCTTGCTGTTTTTCAAACAAGGCATCCATCTTCTGACTGTCATTTTCATTGGCTATCCTCTACTCCTAGAATACTCTCCCTTCTCATCTTCATCTCCTGGCTTCCTTCCAAGTTCCAGCTCAGTCCCCGCCTTTTTCATCAAGCCTTTCTCACTGCTTCTTAAGCTAGTGCCTTCCCTTTGCAACTAAGTCCACTTTGTCTAGTATGTTTCTTGTGTGCATGCAGCTGTTTACATGTGATTTCCCCCCGTTAGAATGTGAGCTCTTTGAGGACAGGGGCTGTTTTTTGCCTTTCTCTGTATACTTGGCACAGTGTTTGGCATTCATCCTAAGAGTTTTGGTGCAAAGTATAAACTCTTCTTGTTGAGTTTTTAACGTCCTTTACAACCTGGCCCATCCTATCTTTCTAGCCTCACTGGACATTACTCCTCCCCCCACAACTGGACCCAGACCAACTGGCCTTCTTCCTGTTTTGCACACATAACACTTCATTGTTCACTTCTATGCTTCTGTCCTGACTATCTCTCAGGTACTCCCTTCTTACCTTTACCTCACAGAATTCTTTTCTTCCTTGTGGTGATCACTGATCACTTTATCCATAAAGCATTTCCTGGTCTCCCACATGCCTGCATCTTTACATTTAACAACTGTGTATTTGTTCTCATTACGCCTATTCTTTACGTACTACCTCTCTTCATTACAATTGAAGCTTCTTAGGACGAAGGATTGTTTCATTCTTTGCATTTGTATTTCTAGGGTCTAGTCCAGTGCTTGTACAAAGGACAAGCCTAATAAATGCCTGTTGATTGACTGATCAAAGTCATCTCCCACACAACTCAGATCCAGCTCAAATACAACTGGCTTCAATATAGCCTTCTCAGATTTTCCCCTGCTGACGTGGTTACACATGTGATCTCAAAGCATTTGCATTTATCATTATTTGTATTATACTGGTTAGTCTACATGTTATCACTACCCCAAAAGGGTTTTTGAGGACAGAAACGTTATCTTTATGTCTCTTCTAGCTTTCTGCATTGCATGGAGTAATTTTAAAATACCTTGGATGTGAATCATTAAAGTTCCTTCTTAATCTAAACAACCTATATTTTATTACCTCTCACTAATAACACTAATTGATAAGTTAAACAAAAAGGTCATTAACTACAATTAATCTTCATTTGGCTTTAATTAAAATTCCTATGTCAAAATAAATCTTTGCTGTTTTTATTATGTTTTGGTCTTGTGGCCCTGGTTAGAGATTACAATGTAACTACAAGTGAAGGAAATGACAGAAAAGGAAAAACAAATGCTATGACAAGCTTTTTCTTTTCTTTCTTTTTTTTTCCTGAAAAATACTATGGAAACTTTTCAAGAAAAGCATGTCACAACAATTTAGTATCTCTGATCAGATGTGAAACTTTGGACCAGCATGCAAATATCCAGATCCTGCCCTAGGAGTGGGATGGTAGCTGTGGAGAGGTTATTTGAGAGGGTGGTTATCTGTTATGTCCATATCCATCCATATACCCAACCATTAAAGCATTAAGGAGTGACTTCCCTCTTTTCTGTACTTCTTATAGGTCTCTTGCTTCATTCCTACATGAGACTTCTTGGGTGTACCCATGAAGTGTTGCTATGAGCTTACTCCTCACACATCTGATTTGGCAGGCATTTCTCTCTTATTATACATCTCCCCAAAAAGTATGCTGGACAAAGTCCTATCATGCTAATTTAGTATGTAGTTTTCAGGGTTAGCAGACTACTGTTGAAATATGCAAAATTTGCAGATTATCCCATAACCTAATTCTTGGCCCAACCTATCAGTGAAAACTATTGATTCTACTCCACTGCTGACACACTACTCGAAACAGTCTATCCATAGTTTTGAAATTCACAGTTGAGGTCTGAAATGGCTTTGGTTTTATTGTGTCCTGTACCAAGGCCTCTCTCTTAGCTTTATACCTTACCTAGAAGTACAGAAAAACAAATATTTCATAGCAGTAGCTATTAGAGCCATTACAGAATTTCTGAATTTCCCAGGCTATCATTTAAATTTGTACTTGAATAGCACAGGCAATTAGAATACCTTAGCTTTGTATTTTCTCATGAGATCAGTCAAAATGCATCCATTTCTTTATTAGGCCATTAAACATAATGCACTAAATGGTGACAGAACAAGTGCCAACAGTTTAAAAATAATTTACACTAAGAAACAGATGGGTGTATGCTCCCAGACCACTATTATTCAACCAAAGCAAATGCTTTTCATTTATTTACAGAAGTACTTCCCAACACCAGTGGTAGTGGTCATCATAATGCCGACAATGATCAGTAGATTAAATAGAGAGAAAGTTAATCTCTGTGCCATAACACAAGTCTTACAATGGACTGCTAACAGCCACCCAATATTGTGTCAAAGAACTAAGCCAAACTCTGTGAGAAATAGTACTTTTAAAAATCTGAATTGTGGTAACATACACTTTTGTTAATCACAGGTCTTCTCAAAAAAGATAAATCCTCCTCTCTAAAACAAAATCCAATCCTAAAGAGTGATCTATGAAGATTATTAAGAAGAAAGAAACCTAAAGTTTTACATATATGTGTGGACTGCTGAAAAACTTAGCAATTCTGAATTGTTCAGGGCTGCAGCTTTGCATTTTCTATTACTCTAGTTCTACAGGCATATAAAAAAATTGCTCATAGAGCTGGCATTATTCTGAGCTCAGAAGCAACAATAAACATTTCATGGGACACTGGCTCATCTCATACCTCAATGCTCAGGATAAACACTTGTAACAGAATGTACCAACGTTTGAAATAGAGGATGACAAAGTAAAGAACTTCTATGAAAAATTTAATAAAACCCCAAATTAAATCAACATATAATTTGCAATTTGGTGATTTCAAAGCAAGGGTGGACATTGGGCAGGAAGATAAAATAAGTTGGAAAATATGATTCAGGAGTTAGGAAGGAAACAAGAAAATAAGACAGAAGAATATGTAAAAATGTCATGCCATCCATACAACATGACTATTTTCTTCAAGAACTGGAAAATGACATAGTAAACAAATATAACATAAAGAACTTAAAAAAATTTTTAAAAATTTTTTTTTATTTTTTTATTTTTAGGCAGTTGGAGTTAAGTGACTTGCCCAGAGTCACACAGCTAGTGTCAAGGGTTTGATCTGAGGCCAGATTTGAACTCAGGTCCTCCTGACTTCAGGGCTGGTGCTCATCCACTGAGCCACCTAGCTGCCCCAACATAAAGAACTTAACCAATCATGTTTTGACAGGAAATGATTCCTTAATGATATGGAGCCATTCTTGATTAAGCTCTTTGTATGGTTAGATCAAAGAGCAAACAATACAAAACTAGAGGAATAAAAAAAGAGAAAAAAATATGCTGTATAATTAAAATAACTCCAATCTAACTTAAATAAGCTGGTGAAAGGAAATGGATGAAGGAACGAACACATCAGAAACCACCTCAATGAGAAAGCACTTGGTCTCTTTGCCCAGTTGAGAGCTATGGCAGCCAGTGTCAAAACACACTCAAACTCAAAAAAGCTAAGTAATCCTAAGGTAAAGAATGAATTTGGGAAGACAAACATGAAAAGTGGGGGAGATCTGTACATTTTAAAAAATATACTCTGTTCATTGTCCAGGTCAGTGGATCCAAAATATTTGTACTCTAACATCAAAGTCCCAGTATAGTGAGAGTAAAGGATAATTGATGGAGAGGACTTGTACTCCATTCTGATTCATGATTTATGACAATAATATATGCTAGCTTTTACAGAGCACTATGTGCCAGGCCTTGTACTAAGTGCTTTACATGAAGAAACGTAGAGGAAAATTACTACATGGGATGGACTGGCATGCCACGGAGGGGCATCACTGGAGATCACTACATTCCTTTCTAGGCTGCCCTGCTGACTCATTCAGACTTTCTCTACTATGTCTCAAAAACCTCTTTACTCTAGAAGCTTACTCCACTCCTGGAATTCACATTTTGGAAATACCCTCCCTCTGTGGCCTGGCCTCTTCTTCTTTGCCCCCACCCTCCTCTCACCCAATAGTTGTCTTTTATGTGTTCAGCTTTCTCAAACAGAATGGAAACTCCCTGAGGGCAGGAACTGTCTTGGCTTATTCCTAGAACTTTGCCACAACAATTGGTACAAAGTAAGCTCTTGATTGGACTTAAGAGGGAACAGTAACTACATTGATGGGACATAGATAAGAATTGAAGAAACAGTGTTAGACCAACAATCAGCTGTGCCGATCACACAGGCTGACACATACGAATGAGAATCTCATATCCTCTTTTGTTCCATAAATAGGCTAAAGCCTGAAATTCATGGCAATAATTATACAATTTACTTCCTGAAAACAGTAAACAGCTTTACATCAAACATTCATAAACTAAATGTCAATTTCAACCCTGAAACTGAAATCAGCACCCACCTGTACATTTATATAACATTCCTGTCATGGTTCCAGCTGCTACTGTATTGATGTCATCTTCTGCACCTCGTGTTTTTTCTATGACAACACCAAATGCGCTATAGAGCAGAGCTGGGAATGGAATAGAAATGAATAATGAAATATCAGAGCAATCGTACTTCTTTACAACTTTCAAAGCTCTAATGATGACTTCATTTGTTTTTCTTAACCCTTTCCAAAGGATGATTTTGGAAATATGGTACCTCTTTGGGCTTCAAATATGTTCCTAAAATATTCTTATCTATTGTAAAACAACACACATCTTTTTCTTAACTTTCTGTATAAGCTTATCTGAACATTGTATCCTCAAGTATTCTCACCAACTCATTAATAGTAACTGTATATACCCCTTTATCCCAAGATTTCTCTTTATGCTTAAAGAAAAGCTCACTAGATGCTACCAAAACCAATGGATTTTGATGCTTTCACATAGGCATGTAAGCATCATTGATCAATCACCATTATCATTCACTCCAACCTACCTAAAAACTCTTGGTAATTTATAAAGGAACTGTTTTCTTATAACGTTCAGGCCTTGTCAGTAGACGACAAGCCAGTGCAAATCTAATCTGGTAAACAGAACATGCCGCTAGGAAAACACAGAGGGAAGGCTTGATTAATGTATCACATCTCACAATAGGAGCATGAACTCTTCTTAACATAAAGAACCTTTTCAGTTTGAACTGACTTCATTAATTAATGTGGACTATAACTTCAGTTTCCGGGTATTTTCACTGGCTGGCCTTCATGCCTGGGACACATTCTGTCTGCTGATTTCTCTGACTTCCTTAAGTCTCTACTAAAATCCTTATCTTTTACAGGAAGCCTTTCCCAACCCCTTAATTCTAGAGCCTTTCTTCTCTTAATTATTTCCTATTTATCCTGTATATAGCTTGCCTGCTATACATCTGTTCACATACAGTCTCCTCTATTGGATTCCATGTTCCTTGAGAGCAAGGGCTGTCTTTTGCCTTTTTTTTTTTTTTTTTGTATTCCCAGTGCTTACACAGTGCCTGGAACACAGCAGGCATTTAATAAATGTTTACTGATTGATCAACTGATTTTCTGCTTACACAGGGAAAATGTCAGAAACACTATTAAAATTAGCAGCAAATATAAATGGATAAGACAGGAGTGAAGGTGATATTTAAAATTATTTTCATTAAGCAATTATTTTTCCCTCAGAAAGTGTGTGTGTGTGTGTGTGTGTGTGTGTAGAGGGAGAGACAGAGTGCTTGAGCGCAGCACTTGTAATTTTAGTCTCAAAAATCTCTAGTTGCACTATTGGACTAAAATGTAGTCACCCTTAAACCTGAAATGAGGCTCACATTATCTAATTTACTGTCACCACAGAACACTTTTACTTACCCAGAGAGCCCAGAGTGTTAGCCCATAGTGCCCCTTGCCTGGTTACCATATTTAAAATCCTATTAGGAAAGAGAGAAGCATTACTGCTTATGTTCATTTATTTTAGAGAACTCAAATATTAGATCCACTAAAGCTCTGAAATACATGGATTCTGACAATTTTCTTTTTCAAAATTAATGTCTAAATTCAATTATAGCTATTAAAGAAGTAACTATGTTAGACACCATCAACATTTCAGTCTACCTAGGAATTGAGGAAAGTCCCTATAGGAACTGTGGATCCTCAGTCCTTGACTACATGGTCACTAAAGCAAGAATGGAATGTATTTTTAAAAGTGGCTCATACAAATTGTTTATCATCTATTATTACTATCAGAACCTAGCTTGAATTATTTTTTTATATTATAATGTAGGATCAAGAGATGAGTGGTCAACTTGAGGTTAAAAAAAAAAAGCCACCAGAAGTACAGATACATTTTTTATAATTTATGTCTGCTTCCACACTAACACTGAATAGTCAAAATCCCTGCTCAGCACACTCTCGAGGAAGCACAGTCCCCTTCTGTCTGCCCTGATACCAGGAATCACTAGAACAGTGAAGGTGGTAACCAGGTCAAAAGGACAGTCTATTAATCTACCAGTAGTGTAACACTATCACAGGAATGGCAATGTCCTGGATAGCTGACTACCACTGGACCTCACAAGACTACCATGTGACAGCAAAAAACACATTTATGATTATCCCATGTTCAATTAAAAGCCAGCTTGTTTTCACTGATTTGTAAATTATAAAGTTTTTAAAAATGGTAGACAAAGGGGTTTTTTTTGGGTGGGGGATATAATTTTATTCTTTCCAATTACATGTAAAGATAGTTTTCAACATTCATTTTTATAAGATTTTGAGTTCCATATTTTTCTCCCTCTCTCCCTCCCCTCCTCAAAAAGGCAAGCAATCTGTATAGGTTGTACATGTGTAATCACGGAAACATATTTCCACATCAGTCATGTTGTGAAAGAAGAAACAGAACAAAAGGGGAAAGCCACCAAAAAAAAAAGTGAAAATGATATGCCTTGATCTACATTTATTCTTTGGATGTGGATAGCATTTTCCATCATGAGTTACTGGAATTTAGACAAAATATTAATAAAGACAATAAAAGTTACCTGTGGTAAAGTTAAAATGTAAGGAAATTAATTTTATGAATAATTGTTAGAGCATGAATCTACCACAATATACTATTTTGTTTTTAATATAACACATTTCACTTTAAATTTTTAAAGGTACTTTCATATCTTTAATTTCATTTTTGGTACTTGTTTCATTTCATTTTTTTGTTTGTAAAAACCATCTAAGTAAAAATTCTATTATGATGATGGAAAAGATTATAAAATAATTCCTAGTTAGCTCTAATTTATTTTAAGATCACCTTTATTCAGAATGCAACTGCTGTAAATGATGCCCCCCCCCCAAAATAGAGCTTTTTAAATTACTATCCGAATATAAAAGGAAAGAGTCATATTTGTTATATGTTGTGAAAGCAAAGATGGCTTTCAAGGAAATGACCTTCAGAAAGTTTCAGGGTCTTAACTCAAGTACTAATAAAACTAAGACATTCAGTGCCCCCTGTTGGCTGAACTTATGCCAAGTATGAATGTTTTTTTTTTTTAAAACAAAATCTGAACAAAGATGAAGTGTTTAGGTATTACGACATCAAACAAGACTTACTGTACATTTCTTGGCTTGGACCAGGCCATCTTTTGTGTTTCTTTTAGTCCCAGCCTCAAGCCATTCACTGCTCCAAATGTAGCTCCTTAAAGAACCAAAATATTAACAATTATTGTACAAAGAATCCAGAATTATGATATACTTCAAAACTTGTAACAGTAAAAACAAAACAACCCAAAAAACCAATGACCCTGAATAGATAGATGTCTTTTGTAGAAAATACAACCACTTTTAAAAATTACATTATACTGTTGGAAAAAGAAAAATTTACCAAATTTTCCTTATGATTGCCTTCCCAACTTAATCACCATGTATTATTGCACACCTTTCTGCCTTAAAATATAAAACAATCAAGCATGGAGATGTATACCTACCTGTTATACAGCATCCTCCAATGGTAAAAAATGCCAATTCAAACCTGCCCCGTGTTTTATTGGCTCCAGTGGGTAAAATAAACTCATCTGTGTCCTAAAAGGTAAAAATGAAAACACATTTTATTCTGCTCTGGAGATATACCAATCATCAAAGTCCTTTGTGATTTTCCAAAACAAATTTCCAAAGAAAACGAAATTTTAATTAAACTAAATCCTACTACAGAAATATCCCACTTGTCTGGAGGTCAGATTTCTTATAACTCCAACTGCATGCAACCCTGAATGAAGTGAAGCAAAATACTTGTCACAAAACTTAGGAGAGAGTCAGGTCCAATGTATTGATTTGTTTTGTTTAATGATATTTGTTATAAGAAGGGTTCCATTCTGATGTGGAATGGCAGATGAGTGAAAGCAACGTAACAAATTGTATCAATACATTCAGAAAAAAAGAACTTTGAAAAGCTCCTCACTCAATACAGTCAATCTTACTTAACCAGAACATAAAGGTCAGGGAAAACCTGACCCCTACTAGTCTAAGTCAGTCATTTAACCTGTCTGAGGCTCAGTTTTCTTACCTCTAAAAGTGGGTTTATAATACTTTTTACATGGTTTTTATAAAGATGAAATGAGATAATCTACTTAAAGTGGCCTATAAGCTTAAAAATCACTATTAAAATGTCATTTATTATTATTATTAATAAATGTTATTAGAGGCAGAAAGTCTAATAGGATTGAGAAGCAAATGCCAGGAAAAACTGACAATAAAGAAAAAGATAACAAAAAATAGTTACTGTGTGCAGAGTACCATATTTGAAGCTACAGGACATAACAAAGACACAAAGATTTCCTTTTATTTATTCATTCAACAAATACTTATTGAGAGACCCCCTATGTACATATACAGAATGTTTTAAAATTGATAAAAGCAGAGCCAAGACTATGAAAAACCTTTAATCTAAAGTCATTTAGGCATAGGGGCAAAGAGTCCTATCTACTTCACAGGCCTTGAGGACACCACGATACTGTAACATAATACCATCGCTGACATTCAGGATGGCCTTAAGTCATTAAGATAAAATTATGTTCATAGAATTATAAAGTTTTAGAATTGGAAGGGACCTCAACAGCTATTTAGCCCAATCTGTAAGAACAAGGAATCTTCACTATAACATATCCAAGAGGTCAGGAGCCTCTGCTTGACTCACTCCCAAGACAGCACAATCCATGTATGGATCACTCTAATTCTTAGGAGTTTTTCTGACATCAAGCCTAAAGCTGCCTCTCTGCAACTTCCAACATCTCCTCTCAGTTCTGTCCTCTGAGGTCAAATAGAACAAAATGTAATCCCTCTTCTCCAAGACAGCCCTGCAAAGTACTTGAATGAAGGTAGCTACTGTCTTCCTTCTTCTCCAGGCCAAATACTCCCACTTCCTTCAACTAATCTTCCTATCACATCAACTCCAGGCTCTTTTACCAACTTGACTATTTTCTTTTGGAGGCTCCTGAGCTTATCAATGTGCTTCAATAGTCTGAGACTATCTTGCAGAGGATATTACATTTTTTAGCAAGAGTTCCATACAAAATGGTTAAAAATCTTAAAAAAAAAATTTGTCATGTAAAAGAAAGGGGGATCAGTTAACTGCAAACTCCACTTATGTAAATGTACCTTGTTTCTCATAGCAGCCAGATAAACAAGGAATCAAAATAATCGGAATCTTTGGCATTTCCCCCATAAAACCAGAAAGAAAAACAAAATCTTCTCCCAAACCAATATTATTAATTTACTAAGAAAATCAACTTTTAATTGAAACCTGTGGATCTTAGGGTATAAAGGCAACCTAATGACACATACCCACTTTTCCACTACTCCAAACCTAGAAGTAATTTGCAGCATGAATGCAATATTAAATGGAAGTCAAATATGTTTTGATGAGGTTACTAACTCAGAAAGTCAAATATATTTATCTTACAAAGAATTTTAGCCAGGTTGAAATAAAAAGAGTTAGTTAAAAAAAAATAACCCCCAAAACAAAAACTAATCCTTATTTAATTCAAAACTGAATTAATCAGTTGACTTTATATCCTCAGGATTCTAGTTAATCAATGTTTTAGTGAATTATCATACACAGATATTTTCTTATCTTTATATATTAGAACCACAGAATCTTGGAATGGAACGGAAGTTTTAAAAGGTCATCTTATCTAATGAATAAATATTCCAAGTCAAAAAAATTTAAGGTGAATCCTAGATCACTATGCTAATTTCTACTACATAGACCTACTTCTAGAAACAGTGACAACTAGAAGTCAACAAAGTAGAAAGAAAAAAATCCAAAAATTCATCATCTAAATAATTATGCATTAATAGGAAGCTAAAGATTTTAAGCAGTGAATTAACAAAGATAATTAGATTTCAGAGAAACCTAGGAAGACTTGTATGAACTGATAGAAAGAAGAAAGCAGAACCAAGAGAAAAAATTTATACAATAACCATGTTATAAAGAAAACTAACTTTGAAAGACTTAAGAACTCTGACCAATGCAATGACCAGGCATTACTCCAGAGAACTTTTACCCACCTCCTAATGAAGGGGTAACGGACTCAAGATAGAGAATAGGACACATATTTTCAGACACGGCACACACGGATTTCTTTTGCTTGACTATACCTGCTACCAGGATTGTGTTTTTCTTTCTTAATTTGGAAGAAAGGAGGGGAGAAAAAGGAAGTTAGTAAAAATACTGCCACCCCCAAAGAGGGTCATTAGAGCATTTTTAAAAATGCACAGAAGAGAGCAGAAAATTAAGAAAGAAACATAGATAAGAGGACAGCTTTGACAGTGACATGGTAAATTTACTACATACTTAAAAATAAAGATATGTGGTTTCACATATAATCATCAGTTTCCTATTTTACTTTGTATATAGGAAATTTTTTTTGCTTTGTTCAATAAATTCAGAATTTTTGGTGAAATCCCCAATAATTTTTGGTTAAAATTTTAAACTCATTCAAAAACAGCTGTCAGATAATGAAATCTGACAGTTATGGCACTCCAGTTGTTTTATGAATAGCTATTTCACAAACCACTATGGAGAAAATATCCCAAGACCATATTAGAGCATGACAGATTCAGAGTTGGATAAGGCTATCTCTTCCAAACCCCTCAATCTACAGATGAACAAACTGAGGCCCACTTATGTTAAGAAAGTTGACAAAGGCCACAAAAGTAGTAAATAGCATAGCCAGATGTGCCCCCTGGTCCTTTAACTCCAGATTTGTCTTTCTAATGTTACTTACTAGGTTTTTAAGAAATTAATTAGGATATAATAAAATCAGGCAGAATTCTAAGATAATCACATAATGTTTAGGCTCAATCTTACCTGTATAAGATATCTGGGATCCACATTTAAATATGGAGACAGAGGACTCATACCAGTAACTAGAGAGAAAACAGGTATTTTATCACAATGAAAGTTTTTGTAATGTACCATATTTTATATTACACGGAAGCAGCAAAGTAAAACAAAATAAGCCAATCCTTGGAGGGAAAAGTGGCTTTGAGTTAATGTTATTCCTTTTTTATATTCAAAAAGGTAGAATTTTAACTAAGTTTGGTTTTAGCTGCGTAGAGGGGTTTATTTTTTCTTTTAAAAAGTATTTTGATACATTCTGTCTTTACATCAGTTATTTCTTGGGAGCAATCTTCTAGCCTAAGCCATGCTTCCCCCTAACCCACCCAAGAGTAACTATGAAGCATAAACATCTGATAGTAATAAAACCTAATAATACATAGAACATTCTATCTTTGAAGTCTCCTGCCTCTATGCTATGATCTGGATGGTACATCTTATTATTTGTCCTCTGAAACCATTATAGGATTTTTGATTACTCAAAATTGAAATTCCTTGTAGCTATCTTTTCATTTACACACTAGTAATCCTTGTGTATATTGTCCCTTGAGTTTTGCTCATTCTACTCAGGATCAGTTTATGGCAATCAACCAGTATTTCTCTCAATTCTTCAAATTCATCTCACACACATACTGATGAGAACTCATTTTGATTCTAGGTCTTTGCTACTACAAAGAATGCTGTTACGGATATTTTGGTATACACTGGAACCTTGTTTCTGTTTTTGAGTGCCTTGGGGTATACATTCAGTAGTGGAAATGTTGGGTTGAAGGAATAGGTCAGTAGCTTTTCATAGTTTCACCAACAGCAAGTAGTGTGCCTATCTCCCCAAAGTGCTCCCAACACTGACAGTTCCCATTTTTAGCCCTCTTTTGACAGCTTGCAGAGTGTGAGGTAAAACCTCACAATTGTTACAAGTTGCATTCTTTTACCATTAGTGATTTGGAGCATATTTCCATTTGACCGTTTATAATATGCAATTTTTACTTTGAATACTGTGCATATCCATTGACTATTTATCTAAGAGGAAACATCTTTGCGTTACATTTTTATATCAATATCCTATAAATCCTGGATATCAGACTTTCATTAGTGTTTGAGGTAGAGACTGGACTTGAGATTTTATTGATGTAGATTGGCATTCTGCAAGTTATAATTATAGCACAGGTGTTCTTAATCTGGAGACTGTGAACTTGTTTTAAAGAATATTTTGATAGCTCTTTTTCAATATTATTGATTACCTTTATAATCTTACATGTTTTAATGTACGCATTTAAAAACATTCTAAGAAAGGATTCATAGGTTTGACCAGACTGCTAAAGGAGTCCAGGACCCACAGAACATTAGGAAGCCCTGTCTTAGAGAACTGCCATGGCTATGAAAGGTTAAGTGACTTTCCCAGGGTCACACAAAAATTTATCTAAAAACAAACAAACCTGGGCTTATAGGTATTATTTGATGCCAATATTTTTGCCTACTCTGATTTCTCTTATTTTACTCATGCTTTTCCGTGGTCACCATGATCTGTTTTGTCTTTAATGATACACTTTATCCCTTGTTTGCTAAAGAACTCTCCCCCAGACACAGCTGTGGAATGTACTTAGTCTAGTACTATCATGTTTAAATGGTACGATGTTTTATCTTCAGGTCACACATATGCCTTGAATTCATTGTGACATATGGAATAAATCATTATCTAAACCTAACTGCTATTAAACACCTTCCAGTTTTTCCAACAGTTCTTGTCAAAAAGGAAATCTTTCCCCAAGTATTTTATGTTCTTGGGTTTATCAAAACACTGACAGTTTTTAATTGATTTTGTTTGCTGTTTATGTAGTCTGTTCCACTGGTCTATTTTTATTTTTAAAATGAATATCATATAGTTGTAATGACTACTGTTTTGAAATATAGTTTAAGGTCTGCTAATGCTATACTTCCTTCACATGTACTTTTCCCTCAATATTTTCCTTCATATTCTAGATATTTTTTGTCTAATTCAATAAAGTATCCCTTAGGTAATCTGAGTCATATAATATTAAAGGTATAAATTAATTTTAGTAATACTGCAATTTCCACCTAGGGAGATTTCTGAGGAAGGGAAATAATTCTAGGACAAAGGTGGACGAAGAGCAAATTGGATGAGGAATTATTAACTGTATTATAATAAATTCTTAGGATCACAAAAGAAAAGGACGCCAACCCCAAAATTTATCTTTAGAGGATCCTGGCTCTTGGTACATAGGATACCAAGGTTAACTAAGCCTCAACTCATTTTTCTTACCAAAAATCCAATCAAGTCAACAATTTGAGACAGGCCAAGTGTTATTCATGGTCTTTAACTCCCCTGAGGAGCTGGGCTCTAAACCAATCCCTGTCAGAGACATTGTAGTAAAGTCTCAGAATTTCCTTTTGACCTAGTTTCTCCATCTCTGAAAGAAGACTGGGTTCCTGCCCCTTGCAGGAATCTGCTGAAAATAAAAGTGTCTAGGGTTATGTGGAAGAATTCTGAGTTCTTGGGAAGAGGGGCCTCCTAGAAAGGCAAGTTACTAAATTACAGTATTGTGAAGACCCTCTCCCAGTCCACCTTCAGGTCAAGCTTCACCTTTTTCAGCTCAAAGTTCCAAAGCTGACTGCCCCTCTGGAAAAAATGTGCAGGATCCCCATTGAAAGGATAAATCCAGGTCATTCCCTCACCTTTTGTTCCTGCCCTCTCACCACCACCTTCACTTATGTAAGCCCTCCTTTCTGACCCTCCATAACTTTGACTCCCAAACTTCTACAGTGTTTATTACCGTATCACTACCTTGGACACTGAGCTCAAACTAAGTTTAACTTCCTCGTCTTGGTGTGTGTCTAGCTTCTGTAAATGAAACAAAATCTAAGCTTCCTGAGGGGCAGGCACTACACCTTTGTCTAAAGGTTCAAAATGCCTGGCCCGTGGCAGGTGTTCAATAGTGGCCTGCTGGATTGAACAGACACTGATCTCCTTGGTGTCCGACCGAGGGACCTGCAGCTACTTACTCGTGAGTTTTGCGGATGAAGAGGATTCAGGGAGAACCTGATATTGGGGTCACAACACGAGCCCTACACGTGTTTCCGAAATCCTTCCCACACCTTTCATGGAGTGCCAAGGAGATGGGTGGCAGACAGCTTAGCGGACGTCCAAAAGCCATCCCCTAAATCCCTTATGGGGCGAATAAAAAAAACGGGCCAAGCACTCTGACACGGCCCCCACCCCCACCCCGCTGTGGCTGGAGAAAGTCGCTGGACCCCCGCAGAGAGGAGAGGGAGGGGTAAGATCGGCTGGGAAATGGGGGAGGGGATTCGGGGTGGGCCCTTGGATAGATACTCACGGGGCACTCCGGCCAGATCGGCGTTCGAGTAGCTCATCCCGGAGCCGCTCCCGCCGAAAAACCCCGCCAGGCCTCCCGAGGTCCTGTTGCTGTTGCCTCCGCTGCCCTCCATGGCTCCGCTCCTTCTTTTCCGTCCACTGCCCGAGGTCTCCGCTTCAGGCCGGGGCCCCTCCAGCGGCCGTTAGTCCGCGACACCGCGCGGACCCTGACCGCGATGCTCTCAGCCCTCCCCGGCCGCCGCCGAAGCCGCCGCCGGTACCGCGACAGCCGCCGCCACCTCCGCCTCCTTCACGCGGTGACCTTCCGGGGCGCCCAGTGACCGTCAAGCGGCTCACATCCGCTTTGCGACGGTGCACGGCGCGAAATCCGGAAATACTTGACGGCAGTAGTTCCGGAGGCGCAAAAGTGAAGGCATCCGAAGCTGCAGTCGCTGCTTTTGCTGAGGGAACGGGGACGTACCGCCGAGGGGAAGAGAGAAGGAGGAGCGCAGAGGCTTCGGTTGCACTGGGCCGGCCGAGAGAATCCTTTCGGCGAGGAGAAGAGGGTGCGAGGACACCGGCGCAGGAGAGGGCATGGTGCAGTGTGGGAGAGCCGGCCGTCCGCCCCCACCCGCCGTCGCCCCTCTCCGGGCCGGTGAATGAGGCTCTCCGCCCGGGCTGGCCCGGGGGCTGCGCGCCGCGGGACCCCAGCATGAGTGCGGGCCCCGGCTGCAAGCCCTGCAGGAAGCGAGCCCGCTGCGGCGCCCCGAAATCGCCGCCGCCCGCCGCCTCAGATCTCCTGAGCCAGCCCGGAGGGAAGAGACAGCTTTCGGCCCTTCAGGTCTTCCCGGGGCAGGCCATCCTGTCTCCTCTGGGGCAGACGACGCCGTCGTCCCCATCCGCCGGCTCCCCAGGACCAGCAGCGTCCCGGCCGCCTAGCGTCGGCTCGGGCGGCAAGTTGGGGAACAAAGGTGGGTGCCCCTCGTCCTGGCCTCAGCACCTTTCCTTCCTATTCCCCCCCCCCCCCCGTCCCTTAGACTGCTTCTCTCTCCCTTTTTATCCCGACACCGCAGTGGCTCTGTGTTCACCTGACGCTTTTCATGAGTTCTTGGCTTCCTGCCTCGAGAACCAATGCTTGAGGGAGCTTCAGGGGAGCGAAAGTGGACCGTTTCCCGGGTTAGGATTGCTCTCTCAACGTGTTCTCAGCCGTCTTTTTTTCTTTAGAGTGGATGTAATTTCTTTCTTTCTTTCTTTTTTTACTTTGGAATTAAATTTAATGATTTGGCTAAGACCAGAAAATGGAATGGAGCCAGCAGTAAACATGACTGTCCACCATACCAGCTTCAAGGTGTTATGAAATACTGACATTGAATATAAGGATTGAATATCTTTTTTAAAGTTTTTAAAAATTTTATTTTGATTTATCAACAGTCACTTCCATAAGCTTTTGAGTTTTAATTTTTTCTCCCTCTCCCTCCCCAAGACAGTGCACAATCTGATATAGGCTATACATATACATTGTTATTAAACATGTTGTCATATTAGTAGTGTTGTAAGAATTAGAACCAATAGGAGGAACCACCAGAAAGAGGAAACAAAGCACAACAGAAGAAAAAAAGCAAATAGTATGCCTTGATCTGCATTCAAACTCCGTAGTTCTTTCTTTGGATGTGGATAGCATTTTTCCATCATGAGGCCTTTGGAGGTGTCTTAAATCCTTGTCTGTCTTTCTTTCTTCCTTCCTTCCTTCCTTCCTTTCTTTCTTTCTTTTTCTTTCTTTCTTTCTTCTTTCTTTTCTTTCTTTCTTTCTTTCTTTCTTTCTTTCTTTCTTTCTTTCTGCAATTGGGGTTAAGTGACTTGCCCAGGGTCACACAACTAGTAAGTGTCAAATGTTTGGTCTGAGACCAAATTTTAACTCAGGCCCGCCTAACTTCAGGGCCGGTGCTCTATCCACTGAGCCACCTAGCTGCCTCAGATCCTTGTATTTTTGAGAAAGGTTAAGTCTATCAATATTAGTACCTAACTGATTATATTATTCTCTTCTTGAGCCAAATCTGATGAGAGTAAGGTTCAGACTATGCTTATCTCCCTCCCTTTCCCTCTGCTGCAATAGGTTTTTGTACCTTTTCCTGTGATGTAATTTACCCTTGTCTGACTCCTCCTTTCCTTTTCTTTCAGTACATTTTCTTAGTTAGATCAGATTAATCCGCTTACTTGGATACATTTAACCCACTTGATTAGTTTTTTTTATCATTACGTCAAAGTCACCTTATACCCACCCCTTTTTATGTATACCCCTTTAATATGGTGTAATAACAATACAGTTCTGAAGGGTTACAAATGTCATCTTCCCTTGTAGGGATGTAAACAGTTTGCCGTTATTTATAATATGTTATTTCTTTCTGTCTCATTTACCTTTTTGTGTCTCTCTTGAGTCTTGTATTTGAAGATCAAATTTTCTGTTGAGCTCTGGTCTTTTTATCAGGAAGGTTTGGAAGTCCCTATTTCATTGAGTGTCCATCTTCTCCCCTGAAAGATCACGCTCATTTTCTCTGGGCAGTTGATCCTTGGTTGTAATCCAAGCTCCTTTGCCTTAACGGAATATCATATTCCACACCCTACCATCTTTTAATGTAGAAGCTGCAAGGTCCTGTGTAATCCTGACTGTTCCATGATATTTAAATTGTTTCTTTCTGGCTGCTTGCAGTATTTTCTCTTTGACCTGGTATTTTGGAATTTGGCTACTATATTCCTTGGATTTTCAATTTGGGATCTCTTTAAGGAGGTGATTGGTGGATTCTTTCTATGGCTATTTTACCCTCTGGTTCTAGGATCTCAGGGCAGTTTTCCTTTATGATTTCCTGAAAGATACTGTCCAGGCTCTTTTTTTCATCATGATTTTCAGGTAGAACAAGAATTTTTAAATTGTCTCTCCTGGATCGATTTTCCAGGTCATTTATTTTACCAATGAGGTATTTTACATTTTCATCTTTTTTTTGTTCTTTTGTTTTTATTTGACTGATTCTTGTTCCCTCATTGAGTCATTAGCTTCCATTTGCCCAATTCTAATTTTTAACATTGTTTTCTTCTATTAGATTTTGTACCTCCTTCCCCATTTGGCCAATTATTTTTTAGGGACTTGTTTTCTTCAGTGTACTTTTTTTCCAGTTGGCCAATTGTATTTTTAAGGACTTGTTTTCTACAGTTAATTTTTGTCCTTCCTTTTCCAAGCTATTGACTCTCTCTTGCATACCTCTCATTTCTTTTCCCATTTTTTCTTCTACCTCTCTCATTTGACTTTTAAAATCCTTCTTGAGTTCTTCTAAGAAGGCTTTTTGGGCTTCAGACCAGTTCATATTCCCATTTGAGGTTCCAGATGTAGGTTTGTTGACCTTTTCAGAATTTCTGCCTTGATCTTCACTGTTCCCGTAATAAGAATGTCATATGTTTCTTTTTGCTCATGGTGTTTGCTTATTTCCTGGCCTTTAAATAGATTGAGCTCTGCTGCTGGCGAGCAGAGGGCACTGACCCAAGCTTCTTGTGTTGGGAGTGTAGGGGCCTGGTTGGTGGCTTTGTGTGCTGGGGCCTCCAGTGCTGGCAGTTGGAGGCTGTAGGGTTCAGGCAGCTTACCTGGTGTTGGGCTGGAATCAGCAACACTGGAACTCTAGGGGCAGGATTAGGTAGTGTGGCTCCTGGAGATTTCCTTCCACTGGGGCCTTTCCTTCCTTTGGCTTTCTTCAGTTCCTTTCAGATGGATGTTGCAGGATGTTTATCTGCTTGAGGCCCCTTGGAGTGCTGCTTCCTTTAGTTTTGCTAAGGCACTGGGAGAGCTGGTTGTTATAGAATGCTGAGGCACCTGGTGGTTTTCCAAGATGGTTTCCACCAGTTCCCCCACCCTCACTGAGGCACTGGGGGTCCAGGTGTTGGTATTTGCCTGCTCCACCACCTGGGTTCTGGATCCCCTCCTGGTATGCTGGGATGCCTCCAGTTCTGTACTGCTCCCCTTCCCCCAGGGCAAGAGGGTCCTTTCCCATTAATCCCTCAAGCTACCTGGGCTGCTGGACTCCTGCACCCCATCTTTCTTCTGGTTCAGCTGTTCCAGGGTTTTTCTGGGCTTTCATAGGTTAATGGATGTAATTTCTTAATGATAAAAGACCATCTCAAGAGAAAGAATGAGATTTCTGTGATTTCACTAGATAGGTTTAGGAGGAAAAGACCTTTTTTGTCCTCATATTTGGGATGGGAGAAATCTAAGACTTTATCACAGTTGGTCAGGTAATGCCTTTAGGTTGGGGGAAAAATGTCTAGCTGATGTTTTGCTTTGACATCTAGCTCTAAGAAGGCCCTTGCAGTTTTTGTGAAGTTGAAATTTACCTTCCATCATATGAAACCTCAAGGAAAGAATGACACTGAGATTGAGTTATTTTAATATGGCTAGTTCAAATGTGTTGCCTGCTCCTTATTCTATATAAATTGTTCAACCTCTGAAAATTCACTTGCTGGCAGGAAAACAAATTGAAACTGTTACCACAAGGCGGGAAACTTTTCATTGTAATTGGAAATGTGAAACTAAATGAAACAATGATCAAATCTTTATGTAGAGACTAGCATGAGATTTCTTCATAGCTTGAAATTACCTTTAGATACAGAGTACTTTTTTTTTTAAGGAGAAGTTATTCTGTAAATAGATGAGGTAAGGGAAAGTAGCTATTTTTTTTTAATGTTGTGTTCCATATTATGTCAGTCTTTTAGGGTATGATTGTTACTGAATGAATAGAAATTTGGCAATTGAATTTGCTGTTTTTGGTATAATAAAAGAAGACACAGTGGTTCCCCCTTGCTGAAAACCACAAAGTTCAAACTATCTTCCCAGTATTGTGCACGGTGCAGTTAAATGTAAGCCCTATGAATTCAGCAACCGTTTTTCATTTTTGTCTTTATATTCCCAGAGTCTACAAGATAATAGTGAAGTGTGATGGATAAGAGGGCTGTCCACTTATTAAAGAAGACCTGGGTTCAAGTTCTGTCTCCATCACATATTAGCTGTGTGATCATGGACAAGTCACTTAATCCCTCAGTGTCCCAGGCAACTCTCAAAGACTTAAGTTACAGGGGAAGGGTAGAACTGTGTTTGTGAAAGGAGTTTCTACAGTAGGAGTTTCCTGTACTAATACAATTATAGATCTGGACCAAGACTAATCTCCAGTACTTAGTACAGCACTTTGCTCATAGTAGTTACTTTATTAACATTTGTTGGATTGAATTAAATCTTAAACTACCTTTTTTTTGTACCTTGCCAAATGACAGGATGTTTAATAAGCAATTATACTACCAGTCTTAAGATATTGAATGTCTATGCAGCATCCGTCATCAAATTTCTATGAATAGAACTTTTCTCCCTGTTATCTCACTTGATCTCTGCAGCAACTGTGTTAAATACTCAGTTATGACTATATCTGTTTTACTACATGGCAAAACTGAAGTTCAGAAAGATTAAATGAATTACTTATAGTCAAACAGGTGTTGCCAGAGTAAGGATTTGAATTGAGGTTTCTCTTCCAATTCCAGATTCATCCCTCTTGATACTACACCATGATTTCAGAAGCAAATTTGTGTCTACTGCTAACATGAACTGTATCTTGGGCCAATTATGAGACATATAAATTAATGTCTAACTCTTTTTTTCTAGTTTTCAAACAAAAGGCAATTACCAGTTGGGTGGACGCTAAAGGATTCAAAATAGTGTCAAAAAGGTATGAATTGTAATGTGCTTCTTATTGTAAGCTATGGATTAAAAGAGTAGATCTTAATGTGACATGAAAATTTCAAGGGACATAGTTTCTGGGTAATTAATACTTTTATTAATTATGGCTAGCAGATAACAAAATGGTCATTTGGCTTTCTCTTGTAAACCAAAAACAATCATGGAGGCTGTTCAGGCTTATATACCCTTGGGAGAGTGGGTGTTCTCAACAGGAAACTCTGATTGGTTAACAGTTAATGAGAGAATGAATAATTATAATGAGAAGTGGACCTGTTCTAATGAGGAGCTGGGGAACTTGACTTTGATTATGTCTCTTTTACTCCTCTCTACCCAGACCATCCCCAGGCAATTCTAGACAAAGGGATCTACCCACATCCCAGCCTTTCTGAGTAGAACACAATGGGCTGGAATTCACCTAGATTAGATTCTCTTTGAAGGGTTTTTCTGGTTGGGTGAGTTAAGAATTCTTTCTAGATAAGGTAGTCTAGGTGAGGTAAATTTTTGGGCTAGGTTAGAAATCTCAAGAGACTGGATTTTGAGTGAAGAAATAGGAAGGAAAAAACCCTGTATTTCCCGCCCTCCCATTAATTGGTTATTATATTATTACACGTTATGTGATATATGTTATTATGTATGTATTATATAGTATATGTTATATATAATTCTCTCATTTAAGATATGAAATAAATGAGTTTCATATACTTAAATATGTATACACTGAATAAATATATACTGAGTGTATATATGTGTGTGTGTGTATATATCTATAGATATATATATATCTGTATCTCATTAAACAAGATATTTTTGTCATTGTTCATGCTATTGTTCCTCCCCGTAGTACCCTTTCTGTTTTTCTACACCATCTAAATACTAATAGTTCCTACTGGAAATCATACTAGTCCTAGTTCAAAGAATACCTTACAACTACATTAAATCTACTTTTTCCACAAATACTTTTTTAAGACTATTTTTTTTTTGTCAAGGCAATGGGGGTTAAGTGACTTGCTCACGGTCACACAACTAATAAGTATCAAATGTCTGGTCTGAGACCAGATTTAAACTCAGGTCCTCCTGACTCCAGGGCTGGTGCTGTATCCACTGTGTCACCTAGCTGCTCCCACAAACACTTTTTTGACAGCTATATCCCACACTGGTTTTTCATTTTCCTTGAGGCAGCTAGTTGGGACAGTGGATAGAATCTTGAGCCTGGAGTCGGGAAGATCTGAGTTCAGATCTAACCCTAGACACTTAACTAGCTGTGTGACTGGGCAAGTCACTTCACTTCTGCTTGCCTTAGTTTCTTCAACTGTAAATTGGGAATATTGATAGCACCTACCTCTTAGGGTTATTGTACAGGTTCAAATGAGATAATATTTCTAAAGCATTTAGCACAGTATTTGGCACATAGTAGGCACTTAATATGTACTTATTTCTGTCCTTTCTTCTGTCGGTCCTTGTTTGGTAAAACACGGTCTCTACCTCAAACAGCTTACACATCTATTTAATTGTACCATGTAAATTAGCACAAGATTATAAACTTATTTACTAATTTTGTTCGTGTTTTTCCTCAATTAGATTCTAAGTTTCTTGAGGTCAGGTTTTATGCTTAAAGTCTGATATTGTCTCTAATAAATAGTGCTCAATAGTAGGTGCTCGATAAATATTTGTTTAACATAATGGTCATCATTCAGCAAATAATTATTAAGTGTCAGTAAGACATGGACCTTATTCTTAAAGAGTATAGAAGAAATTAATCATATTTATGAAAAATTATAATGCAATCAAGACTACAGCTGCACAAAACTGGCAAAAACAAAATGTGAGAACAGGAAAGAGGGAGAGAAACCTAGGTGGTGGTTTACATATGAGGGAAGGCTTAGATCAGGAACATTTGAACTGGGCCTTGAAGGATAGATAGGATTTCAAAAGGAAATTGGGGGAGGAAGTGGAAGGGTTGTCCTGGCATGGACGAAGGTATGGAGCTGAGAAAGAGTAACTTGTTTAGGGGAATAGCAAATTGCTTAAATTACAGGGAGAGCATGTAAGATTAGGTTAGAAATGTAGGTTGGTTCTGGATATTGTGAAAAGCCTTGGGTGTTAGGAGTTTAGACACTTTAAACATTGTGCAATAGGAAGCCTTGACAATTTTTAATCAGTGAATTGATATAATCTGAGTTATCCATCAGGAAGGGTAAGTTGGACAGATTGAAGGTAAAGAGTTTAATTGGGAGTCTCTTCTAGTAGTTCAGGGTGGGGCTTGAGTCAAGGTAATATTAGTGTGTAAAGTTAGGACTTGAGAATGAGTAGGACTTGGTGATTAATTGAAGGGGGAGTTAAACATGACTGAAGCATGAAGTGCAGATGACCAGAAAAATGGTAGTGCCGTTAATATTCATAGTGCTAAATTCCTAAAGGTTTTTCTAATATTAGTAGTAGTAGTAGTAGTAGTAGTAGTAGTAGTAGTAGTAGTAGTAGTAGTAGTAGTAGTAGTGGTAATGGTAGTGGTAGTGGTAGTAATAGCACTGAAATCATCAAGAGACGAAGCATTTTCATGTAGTTGGATATTTAGAAATTGCTTAGTTTAAATTTCTGAGTGAAAATACAAATTATGAAAAGTTGAGTCTTTTTGACCCAGTTGTAGACTACTGATTATTTTCATGTGAGAAGTTTTATTTAATTTGTTTATTTTCTTTCTCCTCTGCAGTTTGCAGAGTAAAGATACCGTTGTAACAGCAGGATCTAAGATGAGTTCTGTACAGAAAGATAACTTTTTCCAACACAACGTGGAGAAATTAGAAAATGTTTCTCAGCTGAGCCATGCTAAATCCTCTCTAGATAAAAGTACAAAGCATTTCAGCCATCCTCTGATGTCCAGTACCTGTAAATTGCAAAGTGAAGGAAAACACACAGAGCTTTTGGAAGCTGAACCGCAGGAAGTAACTGTTGTGGCAGATCAGTTCAGAAATGCTAATGTGGATCAGTTGCCCCAGAGTGATGATCAAATTCACATAGATTGTGAAGAAAATAGAGATAATAGGCAGCTCTTATTGACACCTGTAAAGATGGCAAATTCCAAGCAGCCTATGAAAGATACACAACCAAGAGAATCCTCAAGCAATCTGCAGCCCAGTAAGTGTTGCCAGCCTGACCGTGACGCTAGTGCAGATAGTCAGCAGGAAGAGATAGATGTTGTTCCTGAGAGTCCGCTGTCAGATGTTGGTTGTGGTGACATTTTACCTGGTCAGAAAAATGTTGAGAAGATGAGCAGACAAGAAAGTCCGGCAGAGTCTCCTCCTTTTGAGAAAGAAAGTGAACCAGAGTCCCCAATGGATGTTGATAATTCTAAGAATAGTTGTCAGGATTCAGAAGCAGATGAAGAAACGAGCCCATGTTTTGATGAGCAAGAAGATGGTAGTTCCTCCAAATCAGCAGATAAATCATCTAAGTTTCAAGCAAGAGAGGCTAAAATTGAATGTAAAAAACAGCAATCTACTAGAATATGCGAAGATAGTGGATTGAGCCTTCAGTTTGAAGGAGTAGAGAGTTCCACTGGAGAGGATCATTTACATACCAAATCCCCTACCATCACTGGTCTGAATGTGGAATGCAAAGGTCCCAAGCAACTTGGGAGAAAGGATTCTAAAATAACAGATCACTTCATGAGAGTACCTAGAGGAGAGGACAAAAGGTAATCTTTCCCATTCTTTGTAACCTCAGAGCTTAGCTCAGTGTTTGGAATATAGTAAGCACTTAATAAGTGCTTATTGATGACTGAATTACATGAAGGGCATTTTGTAATTTTAAAAGTGAGCTAAACAGAATTGTTATGTTGAAACAGAGAAACTGCTGTCTTCTAGGATAGCTCTATTAAATATAAAGTACCAGGTTTAAATTCTCATAAATCAAAAAGCAAAATAGTAAATGAATTCATCTTGGAAGTTAGATTTTTCTCAATATGATTTATTTCCTTCTATTTCTAATGTAAATCAAGAGACTTAGAAATTAAATAACATCCTTTGTAGATTTAAATACTGATTTATTGTTTGAAAAAAATCCTATTCGCTAAATTATGTATTTTTCAATTTTATTTATTTTAGTTTTTAAACCTATGATCTAAAATTCACATAATCCAGAGTTATTGAAGGAGACCCGGGAGGCTAGTTTGTTGTTGTCTTTCATTTTCAAAGAGGACCAAAATGACATTGTTGTACAGTGTGTCCAGCTGGGGATGATCAGACCAATGCAAGGTTGGGAGGCTCTATCACTGGTCAGGCACAAATAGTCCATATGAACATTTGGAGTGGAGATGTCTCTACATTTGCACATCTCATGTTTGAGCTACTGCAATTCTGCTTCACTAATAGAGCACAGCACTTTCTTTGATGTGTGCAGTCCTGTGCCATTGTCTCCCGTGCTCACAATTGATTCCAGAGTTCTTCAGAGTGACCATGAGAATGTCCTTGTATTGCTTCTTCTGACCTCCATGTGAGTGCTTACCTTGTGGGAGTTCTCCATAAAATAGTCTTTTAGGCAAATGTACATTTGGCATTTGATCAGAAGGGTATCCTATCGGAATTGCGCTCTCTGCAGTAGAGTTTGAATGCATGGCAGTTCAGCTCAAGAAGTGATCTCTGTGTCAGGTACCTTATCTTGCAAGGTGATACTCAGAATCTTCCTAAGACAATTCAAATGGAAGCAGTTCAGTTTCCTGGTGTGGCACTGGTGTACTGTCCTGGTTTCGTAGGCACACAACAATGAAGTCAGCACAGCGGCTCTGCAGACCTTCAGTTTGGTGGTCAGTTTGATACCTCTTCTTTCCCACACTTTCTTTTGGAGCCTCCCAAACCCTGAGCTAGCTCTGGCAATGGGTGTCATCCTCCTTGAATAGCATCTGGAGCCAGTACTGTGGTCAAGTGTTAAGATTTGTGGCAGTTGGGTGTTTCTGTTTGAGTTTGACACTATTGGCATCATAGTGGGTCAGGAAGATCTAAATTCAAATCTGGCCTTAGGCAATTAGTAGCTTAGTAGAACTCTGGCCAACTCACTTAACTACTTTCAACCTCAGTTAACTTATTTGCAAAAAGATGGGGTTGGACTCAATGACCTCTAAGATCCCTTGTAATTTTAAATATGTAATACTATGATTTGGCAAAATATTTAGATCTTGACTTTCCCTGGAGGAGGTTACTTCTATTTGGCAAGTCCTTGTGTAAAACTTACATTTTTGGTATGAGACATATATTTTGCTTCTGGACATAAGTATAAAGTATGAAGTATTGCTTCATTAAGTTGGGACATATTTCAAAAACTGGTAGTCTTTGTTCTTCAGTCATTTTAGTCATGCATGACCCTTTTGGAGTTTTCTTTGCAAAGATACTAGAGTGGTTTGTTATTTCCTTCTCTAGCTCATTTTACAGATGAAGATATGGAGGCAAACAGGGTTAAGTGACTTGCCCAGGGTCACACAGCTAGAGGTTCATCAATTTCAGCTGTCACTTCTTTTACTCTAGCACAGGCTTTAGATTGACTTTTGCCACACATTTGTGAGGATAAAAAAGGCATTATTGCTGAAGAAAGGGAGATAGTAGCTGGGGCGAAGGGCAGCTGGTCTTTAGGGCTTTTTTTCTTCTTTTGCCTCCTATATATGGAGTAGAAAGTAACCTGGCCAGATATTCTCAGTTACTTTTTTGGGGGGGATGGAGGGGGGATAATTCATTTTTTCCCCAATTGCATGTAAAAAGTATTTTTAACATTTGTTTTCTCCTCTACCTGAGATAGTAAGCAGTCAACTACCTTTTTGAATCATTCCAGGTAATTATTTGATACAGATTAAATTTCATCTGGCTCCTAAATTTTGGAGCTTGTTTCTGGACCCACAGATTGTATTTGTTCATTTGTAGAACTTTTAGAAGTAATTTGTAACAATTTGTTTTTCTTGATTTTAGAAAAGAACAATGTGAATTTAAGCACCAAAGACCAGACAGGAAGATCCCCAAATACATTCCACCTCAGGTTTCCCCAGATAAGAAATGGCTTGGAACTCCTATCGAGGAATTGAGAAGAATGCCTTCGTGTGGAGTTCGTCTTCCTCACCTGAGACACTCTGTCAATCATACAGTAACTGTTCGGGTGTGTCACCTTACCTATAATGGGAGAAAACTCTGAAGAGCTTATTAAAATTGCTTAAGCCATATCCTCATTGTTAAGTTACACCAATGCATAAGTGGTCTTTCTTGTTATAATTGTGTGAAGCTGTTGAAGTCACTGGTTAAGTATAACATGTGGTGATTAAAAGGGCAGCTGTTTTTTTTTAAAAGCAAGGTGATTATCGACTCAACCTGAACTTTTGAATTTAGAGAAGAAAAAGTAGAAACCCTTAATTTAAATATATTTCTAGCAAAGCTGAACTGAATATCCTCATTTAGATTCCTTTTGGCATGCATGATATTATGATATAACGCAATTGTATTCATTATTTTTTCCCTTAAATTAAAAAAAAACCCAAAAACTTATTCAGGAAGTATTTTGTAAAATCTAGTATAATTATTTTTAGTTCTCCTTAGGAGCATCAGCAGTCATTAAATATGTTACCTGTAAAACTATGGTACTGTTAACGAGGCACTTGCTTGTATACCTGGTTGTATATCCAGATAGTTTTTAGTGATGTATGTTTAATTCTCCAAGGAAAATAATACTTTTTTCACATACCCATCTGTTACTTTATTTCTCATGTGATGACCAAACTTACACATAGGTGCACTTTTTTTTTTTTTTGCTAGGCAGTGGGGTTAAGTGACTCGCCTAGGGTCACACAGCTAGTAAGTGTTAAGTGTCTGAGACTGAATTTGAACTCAGGTCCTCCTGATTCCAAGACCAAGCACCATCTAGCTGCCCCTACACATTTTTTTTAAGTCATAAAATATTTGTAGGGCTGGAAATGAAAGAATCTTAAAAATTATGTAATGCATGAAACACAATACCTGATATATTAGAAACTCAGTCCATGTTCTTTCCTTTCAAATTATATAGAACATGTTCTTTAAACTTACTTTTTTGATGTCTTTCGTAGTTGATAAGCTTTTAGTTTAGTTGATGACTTTTCAGAAATTTCTTTGAAATCTCCAGAGCTACACATCTTGTCAGGTAGTGAGTTTCCTGTTACTTTTAGGCTGTATAAGTACATTTCAGTTATGTTGTAGAGTGGAGATGTGCACTGAATCAGATTAAAATGTAACTGGGAAATATTTTACGAAGTAAATAAAAGTACCAGAACATGAATAATGTTAAAATGTGATTTTCTGAGTCTGTGTATGTATGGTCCACAAGGACCCCTTGTGTATGTTTCTATTTGAGTTTGGTACCACTGTTGTAGAGGAAATTCATGCATTAAGTTGAGGGGTTGGATTAAATTATCTCTAAGAACCCCATTAGCTCCAGGATTCTGTGATTCATTTCTTCACTGTACTTCAGTGGTTTTTATTTAAAAACAACTTCCTCATAAGTCTGAGTTTTATGTAAAAATACTAAATAGTTTTAAGGCTTTCCTTTAAATAAGCTTAGAGTATGGTCTATACTGTTTAGTGTTCACTTTTGAATATGTTCTTTAGGTCATTTTGTGAAGTGTAGGTAAATGTTTGTACACATTGCGTGATGAATATTCTCTTTGTTGCAGGTAGATCTTTTGAAAGCCGGAGAAGTCCCTAAACCTTTTCCAACACATTATAGGGATTTATGGGATAATAAACATGTCAAAATGCCTTGCTCAGAACAAAATTTGTATCCTGTAGAAGATGAGGTAAGAAAAGGAGGTGAAATTTTTAGGTATGCTTACGAATAAAAAGTGTGTGTATGTCTTTGGCTCACATTCAGAACTAGGATGTAAAGGAACTTGGGCATCCTTTTTAATTAGCCTCCCTTTCTTTCTTCCTAAAAGAATGGCGAACGAACAGCAGGCAGTCGGTGGGAACTCATTCAAACAGCACTGCTCAACAAGTTTAACCGTCCACAAAACTTGAAGGTATATCTAGTGTATACTTTTCTTTAATAGAGTTGTTGGTGACTGCTCTCTCCCTTTTATCCTGACACATTCTACACTGCGCCCTGACACCATATTGTAAGTGACTTAGGTAACAGCATCATCTACTTCCAGAGTTGTTTCTATGAAACACCTCTTCCTTATTTCTAGATTTTCTCTCTCTCCTTTTTTTTTTTCATTACCTGGAGAGAAAGAAAAGGGAGAAAGAAATGAAATGGTCGTTAAGGTATTTGCCTCAGGTCACTTTCAGACCTGAGATCCTCCACGCTTTGTGCTTTGTGGTTATATTGTTAAAATGAGCAGGGATATGAAGGGATGTAAAAGGCTGCCTCTAAAAGGAACAATTCCATCAATAATGGAGATCATTATCAAAGAATTCAGGATACGAGAATAATTTATTGAATAGTATTTTAGTTAGATTAATTTCAGGAAGCAGTGAAGGGTGTTTCTTTAAACATTAGTTTTGTCACTGTTGCTGACTTAAGTCAACTAAAGGAAACTCTCTCATCTCCAGTAGTAATGGAGACGGTTGGAGCTTAGTTCTCTGATAAGACACTCAGGGGCCTGTGATTTTGTCAGGGTAGGTGATTGCATGCTCTCTATAAACCTTAGTGGATGGTCTTTAAGAATCTCTCTGGCTGAAAACGTGAATTATCCGGTCACCTACTCGAGCTTGACATGCCTCTTCAAACTTAGCTAATCAATCCATAAGCCCTCATTAAGTGCCTACTATGTGTCAGATGCTAAGGACACAAAAAACAAATGATTCTTATCCTCAAAGGAGCTTCTCTTCTGTTGGGGGCCCACATGGACATCTACAGGGTGTCCCAAAAGTCTTCATGCAGGGTGAAGCATTAGTAGCTCAAAGTATGTACAGAATAAATCTATATAGTTTAAAGTTATAGTTAGGGTGAGAGGACACTAGCAGTTGGGAAAATCAGCAGGGGCTTCATACAGAAGGTGATGCTTGAGCTGTGTATTGAAGAACAAGGGGGACTGTGCAGAAGAGGTGAGGAGAAAGGGTATTCTAAGAGCCTGTCAGTGCTCAGGCACAAAGGTATACCGTGGGATGCTATGTGGGAAGAACAGTGAAAACGCCAGTTTGGTTAGATTATCAAGTGCTGGAAGGAGGATAATGTATAATGAAGCCGGAAAGATTCATGGAACCAGTTGTGATGGCCTTTAAAAGCCAAACAGAGGACTTTGTGTTTTATCGTAGAGGCAGTGGGGAGCAACTGGAAGTCGTTTGAGGAGGGGGGTGATGTCTTTTTTTTTTTTAAGGAAAATCACTTTGACAATTGTGTAGGAAGATGAATTGGAGTGGGGAGAGGCTTGCAGCACAGGGATCACGTATGCATGTTCTTCCATTGATAGAATTCAGCGGAGCCAGATTGCATTGAACTCCTGTCAGAGACATCTAGGGCTTCCTTACTGTAGCCTCACCCACCTTAGGCTTGAATTCCTTCTTACCTATTCTTGTCCTGTAATTCTCAATCTGAATATCCTTCTACTTGACAAAAAAGGCAGAAGCAAATGGAAATTGAGTATCTCGCTTTCTCTTTGTGCTGTGTTAATATTGCACTCTTCATTGAAGTTACAGATGTTTCTCTTTCCTATTGTTCTTAACTCCTCAGCATTGTTCTTAAAGATATGTGTCACTCATTCTTTGTGATAGTCCTTCCATTTTTGGATATGTATCCTTTTAATCACTACATAACAGTATTAAAAACAAGGAGGATAGATAAAGATGGACAGGCTGCTTTGACTTCTTTGTACTCGTAACAGTTTTCCCTGTATCATAGTTATTTTTCTATGTCCCTTTCCCCTCTTTGAACACCTTGATTTATAAGCTTCTGAAGGCAGTGTCTGTATTGGATCTTTGGGTCTTGCACATAAGTTTGAATTGAGAGTCCAGCTCTCTTTATTAGGACATGCCTGGAGTTTAATGTTCAGCTTTCGATACCACATTTTGAGAAAGACATTGACAAATGAAGTGTGTCCAGAGGGAGTCTGATTATTATAGAATGGTGCCAGATTTATGTTTTGAGGTGAGGTTCCTTGAAGTTGTGACAAAGGATGATCTGTTGAAGAAATTGAGGATTGTTTCACTTAGAGAGAACATAATCGTTGTCTTCGAATAGTTTAAAGGGCTGTCATTGGGCTGGACTCAAGGGAGTGGAAACAGGATCAGTTTGGAAATTAAAAGGGGGCAGATTTCCTCTCAGTCTAAGGAAGAATTTTCAAAAAAACTGTCCAACAATGGAACAGGCTACTGTGTTGATTTAATGAATTCTTTGTTACTGTTGGTGCTCAGACTGAGAATACATGGTTGAGGAAATAGTAGAAGGGACTAATTTATTGGGTAGAAAATTAGACTAAATGCCTTTGTGGTGACATTGAAAGAGTGCTAGGTTTTGAGTCCAAAAACCTGGCTCACATCCCAACCTGTGCTACTTATGTGATAATAGACTAATGATTTCACCTCTGACCTTGTTTGCTTTAATATCTGCCATATCTTACCATTTCTACCTCCACAATATTTCTTGTATCCAATCTCTTCTCTCTGTTCACTCGGCCACCATCTTCGTTTCAGACCCTTATTAATTCTTCTCTGGACTATTGCAATAATCTCCTAATTGGTCTCCCTGACTCAGGTTTCTCCCCAATCCAAATCATCATTCACGTAGCTGCCAAAGGGACTTTCCTTAAACACAGATATATCCACATCATTGCTCTATTTAAACAACTCCAGTGGCTCCCTCTTCTCTTTAGGATAAAATACAAATTGGGCACCATTCTATCATTCCAGTCTCATCATATATTACTCTCTTTCCTGTGCTCTGTAGTACAGCCAAACTAGCTTTCCCTCTGATCCTCATACATGGCCCTACATCTTCTGTCTTAGTGTCTTTGCACAGGGAATCCTTGATGCCTGGCATTGATTCCCTCCTCCTGTTAGCATTTACTTCCTTTAAGATACTGCTGCAGCTCCACCCTCTTTATTTTTTGTCTTTGGATCCCCAGAAGCTAGCACTGTGACTGGCACAAAGTAGGCATGTAACAAATGCCTATGGATTGATCTGTAAAATGAGGAGATTAAACTAGATGATCTTTAAGATTGCTTCCAGCTCTAAGTCCTTTGACTTCCAAGGCTTCTTTTGACTTTCAGGATTCTATTATATTATCCTAAGTCCCATTTTTCTTTTTGAGACAGAAGAATCAAACTTTCTTATGGATTTTTTTCCCTTGGTTTTCATAGCTTTTTACCAGGTATTCTTTGATATCTCTTTAAGCAGTTTACAGCTTAGTGTACTATTATATGTTGTTTTTCTATCCTAAAAATGATTTTGTGCTGAAGTATTGAATATCCACTAGTCTCACTTTACATCATCAGTGTAGTGTGTCTGTGATGCTGGACTCTCTTGAAGGGTATACAGAGTGTAAGCTCTGGTAAATCCTTTCAAGCTGGGAGCACTTTGAACATGGGACTGATGATGGGCTGACCATATGTATATTTGTTGTCAGCAAGGCCAAACAAGCTGAGTTCAGAGAGAGTCAGAATGGTAGACTCAGTTTGATGAATTTTTTAGCCACAGACACTCAATACAACTTTTTAACTAAATGGTAGAGGGGTTGCAGACTGTTAGTAAAAGTAAGTGACCACACTGATGAAATTATACATCCTTGTAGGAAAAAAAATACATTTTCATCATAGTACAGTTTTAAAATTTTATTACTTGAGATTCTTATGCCATTATAATTTTGAGGTATTGGGCATTATATTAAAATTATTTTTATATCATAAATACATTTTAAATCTTATATTAAAATTTTAAGACATACGTAGATGACTTGCCCCCTCAATGATAATTTGATTCATTGTGGTAAATTAGGAAGATGTTATGTGTTTACATAGCACAGTGAATAGAGCACTGGGCTGGAGTCAAGAAAAAGCTATTCAAATCTACCCTTAGACACTTAATAGTTGTGTGACCCTGGGTAAATCACTTAACCTTTGTCAGCCTCAATTTCCTAAACTGTGAAATGGGGATAAATAATAATATCTACCTCACAGGGTCATTGTATTTGTAGAATATTTAGTACAATTCACCTGGCACAGATGCCTTCTTCCTTCTCTCCTTCCCTCCTTCCCTTCCTTCCTTTCACTGAATTTAGATTCAGCATAACAAAGAAATCCACTCATTTTCTTCTTTATACTAAAGGAGCTATGGGAAAACCAAACCCCTGTTAGTGAGCATGATGATAAATACTCATTATGTAACATTCAGCATCAGGTTGAAATAACCAGACTCATGGAAATCTCAAAAATATGTCTGCACGTGAAGGATGGTGACCTCAGCAGTTGAATAAAATTTTGTTTTGTTTTTAGAAATCATATGGCCAGTAATTACATAGACTGGGAGTCTTTCTTCTTTGGAACTAGAGTATTTATTATGGGTTCTGAGCAGAAAGAGCTCCTTACTAAGTTATAATTTTAAAAAGATTTTACATGTACTCCTTTGTGAGTAACCACATACATAGCCCAAGAGAGTGAGATTGAATATAGATTAGTAACTCGGCTTCCTCAAACTCAGTTTCCTTAACTATAAAATGAGGACAAATAATAGCACCTACTTCCCAGGTTGGCTATGTGGATCAAATGAAATAATATCAAATACTTTAGCATAGTGCCTAGCGCATAGGTATACATAGAAATGCTAGCAATTGTTGTTGTTATTTTGAATTTTGCTAATTCCTAGAAGAGCTCTCGAGGAATCACAAACTATTTTCAATGATGCTTGTCATTGATCACTGTTCCTTTAAATGAAATAATAGTATGAGAGTTTGTTGATAGTATAAATCAGGTCCAAAAATGAGAGCCTAGAGATAAAAGAAAAAAAAGAAAACAAAATTTAAAAGTAATTTCACATTTACTATAGACCTCCCATTTAAATGTGATGAGAAAAATGACAACATACAGA